GTGTGTAGTAACGTGTGCGGTGGGGATAGGGGGGGGGGAAACATCTCTGCTGGCTACTGTATTCTGGGACAGTAGAGCGCCAGACCAGAGCGCACGTTGGGAGTCCATAAATAAAGTTCAATAATTGTGTTGAGCCAAAAAGTGTTTTGGGGGCGGACACAACCCCCTTCCTCAGGGCTTGGAAATGTTGAGAGCGAAACAATGGACTCGGAGCAGAAAAGCTCAGAATTTAAATCTTACTGCTAGGGATGCACCGATACCGGTTTTCGGTATCAAGTACAAGTACCAATGTTTTTTTCCGTTACTCGCCGATACCGGTTCCCCAATTATCAGGAAGTCGGGAAGTGGATGGTGACCCGTTGCCCGGTTTCTTGATTGCCTGTGAAGCCAGTGTTCTAGCGAAAGAACACCGGCTTCACTCGCCGAGGCTGCCTGGCTTCCTGAGCAATCAGGAAGCCAGGCGGCGAGTCATGAGGTACCATCCAGCTTCCTGATTGGTCAGGAAGCCAGGCTGCCTAGGAACAAGTGAAGCCGACAAGCACGTCATGACCCACCTCCCTGATTAGCTAGGAAGCCGGCGTCACTTGTTGCTAGGCAGCATGGCTTCATGACCAATCAGGAAGCCGAGAGGCGAGTCATGAGGTGCTGTCCGGCTTCCTGGTTGGTCAGGAAACCAGGCTTCCTAGCAACAAGTGAAGCCGGCTCCCTAGCCAATCAGGAAGCCGGGAGGCGGGTCATAACCCACTGCCCGGCTTTCTGATTGGAAAGGATGCCGGCTCCATGCTCTCTTGCCTCTACTGGTATCGGAGGCAAGTATCCAAGCATCTGGGCAAGTACGAGTACAAATAATCGGTATCGGCACCGATACCAATAGTAGTATCAGCATCGGTGCATGCCCAGTTACTGCAGCTATGGGTAGTTATACCAAAATGTATAAATTGCAGGCGGTGATTGCCCATTAGAAGATTACTCCTCTACTACTATTTCAGTGACAACTCAAAATGTTGGCATTCCCACCACTTAAAGTCCCAGTAACAATGGTCACCAGGACAAATAGAGAGCAGTAAAAGGTTCTAACCATCCACACTCCATCATAACAAAAAGGTTTTGGCTTTCGATGCAAATTAAGACTCGAGCCTTCTGAGGAGGATGGTGTTCTAGGTGTGTATCATAACAAAGAATGCTTCTTTTGGATGAAAGGGCTGTGGACTTTCTACCACAATTTATGGGGTTATATTGTGCGCCAATTTTAGATTCAACGCCATCTAATAAAGAGAGGCCAACAGGTTTAGCTTTTTATTACTTCCCGGGGACACGACCAAACGCACGTTTTTAGTAGAGTCCACATCACGCTCTAACCTTCTCTCCTGTATGCGAGAAATAAAAGTTCTTAATGAGGTTTCTTCTGTATCATTATTACCTGACAAGGAGATGAGTGGAACGCTCATGGTAGAGCGTCTACTCATATGACCAAAACAGATTTCACATAGAACGTGTCTTTAAAGGAGGACTGTGAGGCGAGTGAAAATCATTCAGCCTCATAGTTCGAGCCGACGTGTGACAATGAAACTGTCACAGGTCGGCTCAATAGATCGGGAGGTGAGAGAACACATAGCGTCACTTGCTCACTTTTCGATCTATCCCTGCAGAGAGGCGTGACTGTAACTCACTGCTCCCTGCAGGAATTACCCCCCCCCCC